TCCTGGCTTGGTGATAGGTAGTGAAATGGAAACAACTGGGGCAGGGGAAGGGAGGACTTAGGTTCTGATCCCATTTTAGTCACGTATTGTAGTCGTCTTTACAAATATTATACAAAGGTAGTTTCACTTCACCATGGGATACAGACTAATGCTGAACCCAGTTATGGAGAGGCCAAACAAAACATGCACCACCTGTTGAAAAGGATATGCCTCTTTTAATAACCCACCATAATTCTTCTCTTTCTCTAGCAATGCAATTGGACCTCTGGTAGCTCTCTGGCTTATCTATGACCAAGGAGGTGTCTTGCAAGAAGCTGCTACTCCTGTCTGGCTGCTGTTGTATGGAGGTATTGGCATCTGTGTGGGTCTCTGGGTCTGGGGAAGAAGAGTAATCCAGACGATGGGTAAAGACCTCACACCAATCACACCATCAAGGTAAGTATAGTTGCTGGCTTGATTGTGTGCCTGTCTTGCACTGATCTAGTTTGAGAAACTGTTGCCATAGCATTTGTGTGTTTAACTGTTTAGATTATTAGGTTTGCATGTGATCTGATTTTAATGGTAGACAGTTTGATTTCCCCCTCCGTCTTTCTAAAAAAAATAGCCCTGTAATGAATGCAGCATGAGTTTGTATCGTAGAGGTCTAGTGAAGCGGAGCATTCTGCTGATGAAGTACTGTACTTAACATGGGAATTGATGCGGGTGTACTCATTAAACCTAGAAACAACAAGGTTAAAATAGCTTTCCATGTATGCTTCCAAACATTAAAAAACATGAGTTTAATTCATATTTTTGCTGTAATCCATACTAGACCTCTGCTGCTGCTTAACCCAATTACTAATTAGGCATGATCAGTGGAATACGTAGAGTAGTAAAACAGCCTCAAGTGACAAGCTGTGGCAACCAGCTTAATGGAGAGGTGACTGGAGTGCATTGTTTCTATTATTCAGCAGTTCCTTATTCTCTTAATATAATTCTATAACCAAATCAGTTGGACGTAAACAATTGAAGAAGATGTGGGTAAGACTCTGGCACACCGCATGGTGTCAGTCCAACCTGATATAAAGAGTGACTGTGAAGTGTTCTTTTATGCTTCCTGCAGTGGTTTCACTATTGAGTTGGCTTCGGCGTTCACAGTTGTGGTAGCTTCAAATGTTGGACTTCCTGTCAGTACTACACACTGCAAGGTATGCCTTTGCCACGTGACTGCGGTCAGGCCAGTCTGGACTGTTCATCTTTAATTTTGCTGCTCAGATCAGTTTCTAATAGCATGATTCAATGAGGGCAAATCTGGAATGGTTTTCT